GAACATATGTTCGAGACGAGTGTACCAACATAAAAAAAAATTGCTAATCGACAGCTATTACAGATAACTAATACACTTCGAAAAATATAGATCTATGAAGGTAGTATAATACTAACTGAAATACAACAAACCAGTTTTCCGTCAAAAACTTACTTTCGGCAATTTTTATAAAGCTGACAATATACCGACACAACAGTCACATTTCGCCTCGTGTCACAAATCTCGGTAAATTCAACATTCATCATCGGTGGCAATAAAAACATGTCAAGAGATGCGCTAACTGAAGTTTGGTTGGAAAATTCTAAAAGGAAAACCTTCGGGGGGGGAGGAAACTACCCTCCAAAAGGGGTGAATTCAATTTTCCTCGTTGGTGGCAATAAAAATATATCAAAAGAGATGAAATTATGAAGTTTGGTTGAAACATTTCGATGGGAAAGCCTTAGTCGGTAGAAGATTATGAAAAATCGTAAGAGTAAACTAACTTTCGAAGGGGGTTGATTCAACTTTTCTCATTGTTGGCAATAAAAACTCAGAGATATAAAAGTATGTAGTTTGGTTGAAAAATTCCGATATTAAAGCCTTTGTCGGCAGAAGGTTATGAAAAATCACAAAAGTAAACTATCTTTCAAATGATTATATCAAGCGATATAAAATTTTGAATACATATTGAAATATTCCGATAGGAAGATATCGGTCAGCAAAATTATTTGAAAAATCGCAAACCCTCTCTATATAAGGATGAATTGTATTCATATGTATAGTGACATCAATATCAAGTGAATTTCATGTGTTTTCCGATATAAGCGTTTTATTCGAATGGGGGATGACCTATTTGGGAAGTTCTCCTTTTTCTCCCAGAAAAAGAAATACCAGCGTAGCTGCCGTCTCATGCAACCGGAGAAATTCGCAATCGCAGAACATGCCCTAGTAGGAACAGACCACATGATAAAATACGAAGAAACTGCTGTCCTGTCTAATTTAACGCATATCACGCACGACTTCATAGGAAGGCCATTGAGATCTACAACATACCAACAATTTCACCGGAAAAGAAGGAGGTATACAGGGTGTTTCAAATTCGATCCTCACCATTGGGATCTCGGAAACTATGAGAGATACGAAGATGGTTAAATTTGGACAAAGTTGCGCATTTCCTGACCAGCAATATGCCGCAAAGAAAGATCCAAAATTTGGAGTATATCCGGAAAAAACAGAAATTTCGGAAAATGGTTTTTATTTTTTTCTAGCTTTATTTTTCGAAGGATTCGAAAATAAATTGCACTACTAAATTGCCGCTTTTTCTCTGCTACATAATGGTGTTTTCAGATTTGCTATCCGACGTTTCGTCTTCCGGACACCATCATCAACTTCATTTTTTTTTTCAATGATAATTTCATTAACTACACCTAACGATTTGATCTCCACAAACTTTATTTGACAAATATGTCACATGTTTCGCTAACACAGCAGCTTCTTCAACTGTGATTTGAAATGTTAAGTTATCATTCTTTTTCGAAAAATTGGAGATGTTGAAAAAAAATATTTCTCATCAGAATAGGCTTTGACTTTGATGTTTCTAAATTTGAATTTCAATTTGTTACAGTCAATGTCGGTCGATAGCCAAGCGGTTCGGCATGGGTGCATTGTTCACTCACTCGAATTGACTGCCGTGTTGGTCGGTGGTTCAAGCCCTAGTCTGAACGATCGATCTTCACTTGCTATCGTCCAACCCGTGTTAGGAATCACACGTTAAAAGGTAAGACCTCGTTAANTTGTACAAGTCATTGAATTTTTGGCGAAAAATGGCTTTCACGAATGAAGAAAAAAGAGATATGATACAAATTTATAACAAATACGATAGAAACAGTGTTGGGACATCGGAAATGTATTTCAACTTGTATCCCGAAAGACAAACACATTGAACTATGTTCTAGTTATTGATCAAAATCTCACCGAGTTTGGTTCGTTTGAACAGCCAATGAAAAAATACGGAGACAGAATCAACAATCAAAATTTGATAAACGAGGTGTGTATGAGGTAAATTAGGCATTGTGTCTTTTTTAATGAAAATAGAACAAATACCAATAATTAAAAAAAATGTAAAGACAAAAGTAAATCACAGCAAATGCTCAAAATGCGGGCCTTGTTCATGATAACACAACTGTGCCCTTATTCGAGTATTATTCACTGCACGATTAATTTCAATCTTCCGAACGCTCTAACAATTCTGTGTTGAAGGTCCTCAATATTTTGATATTCCCTCTGACCATAAACTCTATTTTTTAGTGTACCCCATAAGAATTTATACATGACACTTTAGTCTGGAGACCTTGCTGGCTACCTCACCGGCCCATTAATCTCTATCCATTTATCACCAAACCTTTCAGTCAGGTAATAAGATAGTCGTCTGTTGGTGTGCGGTGGAGCACCATCATGTTGAAACCATATGCTGTTATAGTTAGCCAAAGGTAGATCATCCAAATAGTCTTAAAAAATCGACATTTAAAACTGGTGATAGGTTTCTCCATTCGGAATTCCATCAAATAAATGAGGACCCGAAATTCTATTTTTGTAAATTCCTGCCCACTAAATCGCACTTGAAGTCGAATTTCTCGGAACTGCCTGGGGTTGTTTATGCTCCAAATTTGTTCGTTATTTCGGTTGAATATTCCACAATACGTAAAAGATGGTTTCATCTGTCCAAATTACATTTTACAGGAAAATCAGGTCTTCTTATTAGCCAATTACAAAATTCTAATCGCCTTTCGGGATCACATGGATGCAATTTTCAAGATATGTGTATTTTGTAACATTTTAAACCGCTTTTTTTTTTTAGATGTCTCCAAGCACTTGTATGACAAATATTCATTTTGGAGGAAATTTGACGTGTAGATTTCCCCGGGTTCATGTTTATGTGCAAATTAATAATTTTTATTGAATAGGACACAATGTGTAACTTACCTCATACATACTTCATTTATCAAATTTTCTTTAGTTTCTTGGTCCATTCTGTCTTTGTATTTTTTCCTCGGCTTTTCAAATGAACCAAACACGGTGAGATTTTGATCCAATAACTTGAACATAGTTCGATGTGGTTGTCTTAATTCGGGATACAAGTTAAAATACATTTCCGATGTCCTAACACTCTTTCTCTCGTATTTGTAATAAACTTGTATCATATCTCTTTTTTCTTCATTCGTGAAAGCCATTTTTCGCCAAAAATGCAATGACTTGTACAATAACAAAATGTCATTGAGTGTAACAAATTGAAAGTCAAATTTAGAAACATCAAAGTCAAAGCCTATTCTGATAAGAATGATTTTTTTTCAATATCTCCAATTTTTCGAAAAAGAATGATAACTTATGATACATCATCGATAAGGTAAAATCTGGATACTTATACTCGGAATTTCAGAACTTTCTCAACAGCATATTGTTAGGTAAATGCGCAACTTTGCCCCAATTTAACCATCTTCGTATCTCTCATAGTTTCCGAGATTTCAATGGTGAGGGTCGAATTTGAAACACCCTATTCGTGTCAACATAATGTGGTATCCAGTGCTCAAGAAGGTCATAAATGGACTGTAATACAACTCCGGTCGACATCCCACCTGTAACATAACTGTCAACAAAGTGGACCAATCAGAACAACCTAGCAACAGTACGGACTAATCAGAACGTTTCAGAAAAAGTGCGAAACCATCAGGAGTGAGCATTTTAATTTTAATATAATAATAATAATGTTTATTCAGATTCAAATCACAAAAATAAATAACTAAAGTAATACATACAGTTGAATAAACATTATAGAAACCACAGAAGCATCAGATGTTGCTTGTATGTGGTGAAAAGGATATCCAAAGGAAAAAAATTAATATATGATAAATATTAAAGTATGAGAATGATAAAAGGGATTTGCATATGAGGATAAACTACTTAATATATGAAATTAAAAACACATAAGATAATATAAAATCACAAATATAAGTATAAATATAAAAAGTTGTCAGTTTTGACATATACTATTATTTAAATATAAAATCATACAAACATAAAACTAATTTGACAATTAAGTATAAAATCACAATTTTAAAATACGCTTACTAGTAATAATATATAAAAACATGTTGAAATCGATATGGATGTTGTTGAAAATGGATGTGATATATATTAACAAAACGATAGTGCCCACACATATACATACATATATGAACACATATGTATTACAGAATTGTAAGTGGACAATTCAGCAAAGGTATGTATGGTTTTTTCCCATCTACTCAAATAGACGTAGAAGTTCAAGTCTCGTGACTTCGAATCATGTGCTCTTTCAACTCTTTTTTGAAGCGATTGATATTTGAGATAAATTTTATATTTTCAGGAATTCGGTTGTAGAGTTTAGGCTTTAGGCACAAAGTAAGTANTGTCTATATACATTTTATGACTTGTCCTATTTCATGTGTATGATCCTAAAGGATGAATAAAGATTATTATTATTATTATCACCCGTACCGGCGCCTTCTCCACCTTCGAAACTACGAATACTACTGAACATATAGCTAGGTTTAATTGTTCGTCACCGAGACTTCGAGATATAACTTTCATCCTCGCAGTTAGCACACATACCACTGATGATGTCTGCTGCAGTAGCAGACAAAACGTTTGGTACTTTATGTTCCATTCGACCACGGTTTACTAGCCCCGATTTTGTTCTGTTTAATAATCACCTGGTTAAGAGATATTATTTTTTACTGACGTCACTGATAATTTGGCTGCTGGAATCGAAATGTTCAAACATCAGACTGTTGATCTCACCATCTTTGATAAAAAACATGGCTGTTCAAAATTCACGAATTTTTTTTCGCTCAACAAAACAGAATTTCATGAACTTAAATTTGAATTATTCTAATATAAAACGATGTTTCATATGAAAAGATGAAATGAAATTTGAAAATTAATTGCATCAATATGTTTTGAATATACCATTCTTGTTTTTTCAGAATGTCACTGCAAGACGCAATCCAAATTTTTATATGATCACAAACCTCTGGGGAAAAGTGGCAAGGTTTTGCTTATTCAAACCTGCATATAAATTAGGAGAAGACATTATAGGAACTTTTGATTTCACAGTAGCTACTGTCGAATGCGTTCAGTTTTCCGTCTCCCTTCAGTGCGAAGAAGAAACTACCATTGATGTGCACAACGAAAATTCCAAACAAGTGAGGGTGATTACCTTTAGCAATCATCACGAAGTTTGTTTAGGATACAAGTATACTCAGCTAATCCTTCCTATACCACTCCATGTGACCCCTGCATTTAGTACAAAGTTAGGTGAGTTTTAGTGCGATGACATCCACACGTTCAATTATGTACTGGTTATTGTTTTCAGTAAGTTTGAAATGGCGTCTACATTTTGAATTTGTGACGAGTACCCACAAAGGCCTAAGTACCCCATCGCTTGAGGACACTAATTGGCAAGCACCTTCTGAAATACCTATAGAAACGATGGTGTGGAGTTTGCCAATAAGATTATACTCAACTACACCTATGCATGTGGCCCAAGGGGTGCATGCTAGTAATAAACATAAACTTATTATTCGTTAGATAATTGTTGTAGATTTGAAAATGTTTTTATTTTTATATTTATAGGTTACAAGTGACATTCATCAATAAAAAGGTTTAAAATACTCCAAACTGTTAAGTGTTAGTTAATACCTATTCAATTTAACCAAAATAAGCGCCATTTGAACCAGTGCACTTTTACTAATGTAACACAATGGGGAATGTTCCTCAATTTGGGTTATTACAGCAAATGCAAGTTTGAACAAAATAAAGTTGAGTTTAATTCATGAGTTTTTCAAANAGATATGAAGCAATCCAATCACTTGTAACTCCTCGTATGCCAATTCGGTGTAATTTTTCCAAGAGTAGTTGGTGATCAACTGTATCAAACGCTCTACTTAGGTCAAAATAAAGAGCAATGGGATTTTGTTTATTATTAAGGCAGCTATAGACGGTAGTATTGAGATCAGATATGGCGGTATTTGTTGATTTGTTCCTTCTAAATCCATTCTGACAATCAAATAATAAGTTTATTATAATTTATTGAGACGTTCATCATATGCCATATCAAAAATTTTGGCTAGTTGGCTCTGTAAGCAGACATTTCGGTAATTATCTACTATCTCTCTAGATCCTTTGTTTTTGAAAATTGGTATAGATTTAGAGACCTTTAGAATCAATGGGTACTGTCCTGACAAAAAAGATTCATTGATTATGTGAGCTAAAGGCAAACCTATCGTTTCCTTGACAAACCTTACAGCTTTTCCACATATATCATCTATCCCAGAAGCATGTTTACTTGTTGTTTTAGTTATATATTCTTCAATCTCCTGAGGAGTGGTTGGACAAAGGAAAAAGCTATGTTCATTGAAAGGACCTAATTTCAATTTATCAAGCTCAGGCCTTGTACATTTTACATTCATAAAATGTTTACTGAAAATATTACTTATTTCTTCGTGATCTGCTATTTTTTATCATTAACAGTAAGTTGATTCACTGAATTGAAATTTGGTTTATTTTTTGACTCGTTAATTATTTTCCAACTTTCTCTCATCAGGTTTGGTGCCCTTTGCAGCCTATTATTGTTATATGTGTGTTTTGCTATTTTCACTTTTTCTTTATAGTAGTGCTTTAACATGTTATACCTACTTTTGACCAAATCATTAAATGAACTTTTTACAATTTTTGACATTTCACATAACATGTTATGGAGTTCCTTTAATTCAGAAGAGTACCATGGTTTCTTATTTTTGTTAACATAGGTTTTTTTTAAAGGAAAAGCAATGTTGTAACAATATTGAAATGTGATATAGAAGCTTTTAAATTTATCATCGATATTGCATTATTTCATTCCTCTTTTTCAAGTATTTAAATAATTTTTTAAAGAAAAAGGTTGAAAAGTTCAAAATGCGTTGTTTCAGAGCTCTTTTATGAAAACTACTTGATTTTCGTCAGGAGGAATATTCCCCATTCTATTAATTACGTCAGGATTCGAATTCGAAGGCTGGTACTGCCTGGTCCTGATTGGCGAACGTTCTAGAGGTGAGAAAGTTATCGAAGTGGTTGAAAAGATGATATTTGGTTGGCGAGAGGTCTGGGGAGTATAGTGTGTAAGACGGAACTTCGACGTATTGGAGCTGACGCCCTGTTCTTTCGCCATCCCACGCGCCGTTTGTGATGGATTACTATAGGTCGATCACTCAGGGCTCCTCTTCGAGGCTAAAATCTCCTAAACGAAATTTCGCAAACCAAAGTCAAACAGTTTGTTTATTAACACTATCATTGCCAAAATAAGAACTTTGACTTGAAATACAAGCATCAAGTCTCCTGCTCATTAAATGCCGCACAAGTTCAAAAATTCCTTGGGTGTTGCTCAATACTGTAAATCACGCCCTAAAGAAAATTACGTCTGCCGCCAGTGGTAGCCATAAAGCAATTATGTCGTAGCTAAGAGTGCGCGAATGTCGAATGGTCACTGCCGCTCTAGATGCAGCGAGAATAATGCTACCGATTTCGATAGAATTTCGGCGAAATTTTCTAGCGCATTCGATTACGATATATAAACGCTAGCCATGAGCATATCGATAGAGTGAATTGGAAGTTACAGTGAGGTACGCGAAGCGATCTAGTAAGGCGATAGACATTCGAATAATAGTTGAAGATTTAGTTGAAGTGTTTGTTGTATTTAAAGTGAAATAAAGTTGAGTTGGATTATTGTTCAGTGTAGTCAATCATTGGTCAACCCACGGGGAAAAACGTAACAATACATTATAATTTTGCATAAGTGTATTTCATCAACAAGTGATGTAGATAGGGGGGGTTCAAGTCTGAAGATCTAGGTGCCATGGTTGAGGTTCCCCACGACATATCCACTGGTGAGCAAAAGTGCTCCGTCGTGCATCAACCACATATTTTTCTTATTAGCAAAGGTACATCCTCTAATAATTCTAGCTATGTGTCTTCTATAAATTGTCTATACGACATACGAGGAGGAAGAAAATGCGACCCTGTGAGATGATCACAAAAAATTCCCATCCAGACGTATACCAAATTACTGCTGAAATCCACTTTCTACAGTAGCATAAAGATTTTCGTAGTCCCAAGAATGATTGTCATGAAAGTTTATGATGGCATCCATTGAAAAACTTGCCTCATCTGTAAATAAAACTTCACAAATGGATTTGGGAATTTGTACAATTCTTTGAAAGAAGCACTGGCAAAAATCCAATCGTCTATAAAATCTCGCAATAACAGTGCCTGCACCCGCTGATTGTGGTATATATAAATATAATAAATTTGTATTCAAAACTTTTCAAACACTTTGGATGACTGACATTGAAATGTGTAGCTAATTTTCAAGTATTTATTGAAGAATTGCCATCAATTTCTAATGGGCTCATTCAGGCTAATTTAGTTTTTTATTGAAAATTATATATTATAAAAGTAAATCATCTCCCAAGTATCCCACAAAATTTTCCGGTTTATATGTCAATTAACAACTGAGCAAGAGCAATTGAAAATGTGAGATCGCCCGCGGTACATCTTGACGTCACACCAGGCAAACGAGCTTCGAGCAGTGGCAACAGGGCCTGTAGTTGGAGATTATGAATCGCTGCTATCGTCAATTTAATTTTCTTCAAAGTAATGTATATATCAATTCTGGGTAACTGGCATTTTTTGAGACAAAAGTTCTATAATAAATAAAGAGTAGGTACCTTGGGATTCCAAGACATAATTTCGGATTTTTCTCTATGTCGTAAATAGATCTTCGATCAATATTTTTTTTCAAATTCCAGTGTTCAACTAATATTCCAGACAAAGTAGAATCTGATGATGTATCAACAGAAGTCATGTCTGATGTACTCAAACTCTCACTGTCCTCGGGGGTAGTAATTTTTTCCAATACTTTCTGTAGTGCTCAAGTAAAGTATAGTTTTTTTATTAATCACTATCATTCATACTTACATTAAAATGATCTTCGCAAAAAAATGCTTCCCCTTAGCAGATACAAAGTCGGCCCTCCCCATAGCGCGCTGCCATAACTTTCGTAACAGCAAAATAAAAATTTTGTCTGGTGCAGTTACCGAAGAATTCTCGCATTTAGAAACGATGCAATACTTGTAACGTAATTTTTTATCATTATTCATATTCACGCAGTTGACACACTGCAGTAAACAATACACAACTTGCTTTCTACGGCTTTAGCACACGTATTTCGCTTATCCGCCAGCACTCCCTTGTCGCCCAGTCGACTGATGTGACGTCAAGCTTGACCACGCCTTGTTTTGGTGAACGCCACATTCAACAATTAATTTAAGGGGGAAGATAAAGAGTGAAAATTCAGATTCTTTGCAGATGTACTATTTGAAACATAAACTTTCAAATAATGAAATAAAAAAAATTTGTTAAATGAGCCTATTGTGGTGTCATTATTGTCCTCGATCTACCGGGATGCTCAGCCTGTTTTGTTTAAGATTCAGTTTCACACAGTCTAGCGTGTAATCAGGTGAAAGTTTTGTCCACTGGAATATCACTGTTAGGATATCTTCCTTGATAGAGTCGACAAGCTTCTGCAGCATTTCCATCTGTTAGTCCATAAACGAAACGCATTTCAGCTACTTCATAGTTATTCATATTTACTTGATAGTATGTATTAATTCAACCGTGTTTGCATGCTAAAACAATTTGATGATACTACATGTCATCTACTGTCAAAAAATTGCACGATACTAGTGATTTGTGCTAACTGTGATTAACACAAATGAATTTCAAATTCTATGAAAAAAAAAAACGGAAGCACCTATAAACATCTTGAAAAAATCAAGAATATCATACAAACAGTGTTTTGGTCAACTCATTTTTTTTTAACAAATTAATGTCATTTGCTGGGTTTGACAAGTAATTAAATCAAATGTAAATAATGTTTATCCTTTGTTTGAATACATATTCAATTTTTACTTCAATTCAAAAATAAAAAAAAAGTAAAAAGAAACTTTTATACAAATGCACTAAAAATGAAAAACTAATTTTTTTCATTGTTTGATTAAGCTTATTCCACAAGAAGCTCTCGTGGAAACAAAATAAGTAATCTTATTAAAGATGTTTTTTTTTAATTTATTGCATTTATATAAAGGCTTTTGTCTTCAAACACGTTCTTAAATTAACTGTTCAATCTGGTAGAAATATTAAAAATTGGAGAAAAGCAGTGGCATACAAACATTTACCATAAATATAAATCAGTGTAACGCCACTGAAATTATTATTCGTAAAACTAATTTCATGAAAAGATGCTCCTTGTTACTGCTAACATACCCAGTTTCATTAAAATCGACGACAAAACTTTTGAGTTATTATTAAAAGAACAATATTTTTAGTTAAAACTTTGACACCCCGTTACTCAAAAATGAAGCAAGTTGTGACACACGTTCATAAGCACTTGAATAGCTGTTTATTGAAGTGCCCTCTTGACCTATTGCACTCCAACACATATTGATAGCCTCACCGATGATGGCCCTCATTGCAATTGATAATATTCTAACTACATATGAAAACCACATATAAGCTACGTATTTCCAACAACCCCTGAAAAAATAATCAAGAATTTTTTCATCAACATGAATTATATTCTAGACAATTCACAGAAATCTGAAACCAATTCAATTAGTAGTGGGACAAATACATTATATTATTACTTGACTTGTACTTGAGATGACTCGAGGAGATATATGTGAAGTTTAAATATTTTCAAAATTGCCTTTCAGGGGTGGGTATTTTAAACAAAAATTGATATTTACAACATACATGCTCTGCATCTGAACGAAATGTAACCTAAAAGTAAATATTACTTTGGATGAATTCCACCCACGTGATTGAATTTTCAGGTTTTTTCCGTGTTAGGAATCACACGTTAAAAGGTAAGACCTCGTTAGTTCTTAGCTCGCACAAGTATGGGAGCGACAGCTGATTAACGGAAAAACAGATTTTGAACAGAACAGATACTTGTCTCTGGATGGGGTTTGAAGTCCTATATGAATCATATCCACTCTATACCTTACAGGGTACTCAAATATCAAATTTATGATTTGTAGATGTAATACAATTAAGTAACATCAACCACATAAAAGCAATTACTTGTTAAAATAACGAATATAACAATTTGTAACATCAAATTAAAAACAAACCCATATTTTATTGGGTTTCCATACCATTCACAATAGACTTGTCCTTTTCTTTTCATATGACATGAACAACTAATCATAAACTTTGTTGAAGACATATAAACATTTGTAATATAAATGTGATCAATTTATATCATTAAATATTCGTTTGAAAAATGTTTTGAGTTAATAAGGGGTTTCTCTCAATGTGTTCTATATGAATCACTTATTACTTAGCGAAGAAAAGACAATTCAGTTGTGAATGATATTCTGAAATTATATAAAAAATTGATAGTTATGCTTCAGGAGTTATTATTAAAGGGACGGGTATTTCCGTGGTCCATAGGCTCGGAAAAAGGACAAATAATGATCGAATATTATTACATGGACTCAGAACCAACGGAAAACAATTTCCTAAAGTTAAATACATGTAAATAGACAACATTGAAGCTGCCTCTTTTTCAACTGGTTACCTCTTCACATACTTTTATGCTACTATTTCTATAGTATAGCTAAAATTATTTCAGTTTTCAACAATTATAATAAAAAAATTATATAAGTATATATATATAGACATTATCCATCGTTCATTTTTATGAAATTAGCAAACTTTCATATAAAACAAAAACTAGTCTTTGAAATGAGATGTCAAATGCAAAGTTGAGCTTTTAATTTTTTTTCAATTAGTGAAAATAAATAGAAAATACATAAAACTTAAAATGTTGAACTAATATTTCTGAAAAACAAATTAGTTCAGAATTTTCAAGTAGATCCACTGTTGGTTTAAATATTTTTGAAATCACATATTTCAATTCACCTTTGAATTTTCTAAAATTAAGTTGATGATTGTTCTCGAAAACAAATTCCGATAGTTTACAATTTGAAATTGTTCCATCTTCTGGAAAGTTACTGAAATAATATAAAAAATACCTTCCAGCTATTAGTCTCAAATTGAGTGTTTGATACAAATTTTGAACCAGCAATTTTGTATTTACTTAAACAATTGTTTCGACAGTATTAAACAACTCTGTTATAGTAGATATGGGAAAAAATCGAGTGATGTTTGAATAAAAAATAATTATGCTGAAATTTCAAGATAGATAAAAAAAATGAAATATTGAAGTGATGTTTGAAGCCAATAAAATCAAAATATCAACATTAATAAAGTATTTACACAATTATATTTGAAATAAATTATGAATGTTACAGTAGTTCTGAACTTGAAAATTACTCAATGGAATGGTAAATTTCTTATACTCTTTAGGAGAACTTTGAATATTTGTTCACATAAATAATTTAAACTACAACTACCGAGATACGTAATGATAAACTACTGAATGTTTCTAGATTCTGTCAGTAATTCCAACAATACAAAAGCACAAGATCAAGATCAATTCAATTATTGGAGCGATAATGGGCTCCTTATGCCCAAGAAGTTTTTCATAATAGGATCATTGACAAAAGATACTTTTTCATTATGGTTATCACAAGTCTAAAAAATAAGTATTTCTTCAGGATTTTCAAAGGAGATTAAAGTTATGTGATGGAATCAGCCGATACTTGACGAAAATCCATAACGTTTTCTTTAAAAAACACTATTGTGAGATTTTGACTAAACAGTTTTACAACTCCCAGTTATGTCTTGATATGATGCTTTCACTTTCATATTAATTTTTAAGTACATTTTTGTACTGGCATTCTTTTTGCAATGTACGTTACAACATTCGTTCAATTTGAAAAATAGTGTTTTCACAGGACTCAAAAAATGTTCAGTCTCAAATTAATCCTCTTAATGTTTCCTTGACTGTCTTAAACCGTTTCTGCAATAAATAGGAAGTTGTCTAAAAATAATATGAATAACCATATATTTTGAAATAAATATCTTCCCACTTCTATTTTGAGAAATAAAGTAATACTTTAAATCGAAATTCATGCTAAAACCAAGAAATCATTTGCACTTCCATTTCTCACTCAAATTTTCATAAATTTCATTGGCTAAGTACTTACTGATATCATCGTATCTAGACGAAAAATGTTTATATCACAGTTTCTGAAACTGGACCAGAAATATTTGTTACAATACCATCGTAATAATAATTTATAATTTAAAGAAGGTTGTAATGAATGCGAATGCATAAACTAAAGGTCGTGACCTTCGCTAAAACATGTCACGGTTCGACCTACCAGGCCTCTGGTAATTCCGATTTATTGGCCGACGAGCATTCCTGATTTCTCTATCAACCTCCAGCTCCTCCAGACGTTGGGTGATATTCAGTTTTTGTTGAACAGCAAGACGCAGTAGCTGGTTGAGAGTTTTCTTCTCATCTTCGGCTGCACTCAGTTGCTGTTGGAGTTCGTCAACTTGTGTAACATATTCTTCACAGCGTGCTGCAAACATGGCTCGGAGACCTATAATTTTGAAAAATTGTATTCTACTTCCAGAAAATATTTTAATTAATGAAACAGAGCATAAAATATCCATTTATAAAACAAGTAGGGTTCTAACATAGACTTTCTAGTCGTATTTACATTGATGTAGTGAAACTACACCTCTACCTTCATAAAACCTTTCCCTGAATAGAACAGAACTTCATTCGTCACTGAAGTTATTACAAAAAGGAGTACAGAATGTTTAACTTATTGGACTCGTCACAAAATATGAAGTAAATTTAGTATTTAGTCTACATATAAAAATCAGCACGTGAAGAAATAAAAAAAACAAATACAGACATATATGAAAATATACCTAATTACAACATATTAGTTCATGTCTCTAGAAATTCCTCTAACGAGTAGAATGCTCTGGATTTTAAATAGTTGTACAGGGAGTTTTTGAAAATCCTCAGATCGACAAGATCAATTTTGCTATTAAACAAATCTATAAATCTATTATAGCAGAGAATACCTTTATATATGTGCGAGTTTTACCCAATGGTTAATCTTGAGTATGGTTGATGTAGGTTACCCCATTTTCTTGTATCGTACTTGTGTAAACCGCTATTTTTAAGAATGGAATTCTCTTGTGTTTTAATATTCAGAGTAATTTGAAATATTTATAGTGAATACACTGAGAATACCTATCTTTGGAAAAGTTGATTTACAAGATGTATTAGTGTTGACTTCAACCATGCTTCTAATGTTTTTTTTGCATTATAAATATCTGATTTAGGTAGCTTGAGCTACCTAAATCAGATATCTAATATAACTCTCAGAAAACGAGCAACATCAATCTGCTCAATGCTACTATGATTTACTCTTATTGATAAACTAGAATTCGTATTCAAATTTTTCGTTAGAAACTGCATGAAGCATGTTTTTTCCAAATTCACCACTAGACCATCGCAAGTACACTACAGTATTGGCTCTAAGTACCATATCACATATTGATTTTTCTGAGATAAGAAAATTGGTATCGTCGGCATACATAATTATATTTTGCGCACTTGGAAATGAGTTAATCATTTGAATTGAAGAGGTTATATTTTTAGGAGTTAATCATATTATCACTTGTGATATACTGTTTGGAACCTTTGGTGTAGTAATGAATATTACTGGAGTTTTTTCACAACACCAAATCGTTATTTTTACACCTCGACACGTCTTCAAGAGGAAGATAAAACTAATAACTACTCAAAACTAAAGCTACTTATACTAATCAGGTACATCATACAGGTAGGTAATCAGTAATACCACCCATACAAGTGTACCACCCTAAATTAATTTTACAATTGGCCTTTCTATTATTTACAATATGTCCTTATGTATGTTTAAATGTTACAGCTATATATAGAACAATTTTCAGCTATATAAAATTAGTTTCACAATATTGCCTATCTAAATATATTTACAATGTGTCTTTTTGTAGTGATCAGTTAACCCAACAATATTATTTCAACAAGCTATATAGTATGCTATTTTGTATTGGTCCGTTGTCGTTATTCATAATATTATTATGTTTACTTATTTTCACACTCTCATAGGCATCTAGTTGCCTGTTGTTATTAACTTGTCTAACTAATCTTAAAGAACTGAAGTCTATGGAATGGTTTTGTTGCAAAATATGATGGGCGACTGCTGATTTTTCAAATCTTCCATATTTTAAGTGTGCTATGTGTTCCTTATATCTCACTTTAATAGATCTTTTTGTCTGTCCATAATATTTTGCATCGCAGTCCTTACATTCAATTTCGTAAATTCCAGACTTTTCCGAATTCTCGACTTTGTCATTTGGACTTCCCAAAAGGTTCTGCCAACATAACACCTTTGACTATTTGTTCGTAAAATTGGCATATGAACTGTGATCAAAATTTTGAGCTGTTTTTCCTATGAAATGGAAAACTTTGAACAATTACCTTTTATAATGGCAAGTTCTTTTTGGAACCCTATTTCAAGATTCTATGAGTGAAATTAATAAAACAAAAAATGTCTACATTGATTACAATATATCGAAACATGTTAGCATGTTTGGCAGTTTTCAGTAGCCATTTCGGACAAGCTAAATTTCTTTCCTCTTTCTTAGAAAGTCAAGCAGGTAGCCATTTTGAAATGAAATTCACGTTCTGACTTTCTATTTATAAGACTCGACAAATCCAACACTAATCTTCTTTCCAAAATTTAGTGTTATCAAGTGAATTCGATATCTTTGGATGAAAATGGAGTTTACATAGGCAATAATGTTGATTTTAATAACATCGTACCTCCATAGAGATTTTGTGTAAATGTAGTCCATGTTCCATAACATAAGCTGAGAACTGACAAACTACTTTTTCATGCCTATATAATGTGAAAGGCATTTATGCAAGTAGATGAACTTGATGCTCTATTTGTATTGGGACCTTCACAAGGTACAAAAAGGAAATTTTCTCAGTGATTGGTCAGTTAAACTCGTTAAATAATATTATATTCATAGCTGTATTCTATAGTTTGAAATATCACATAATCCAGCCCATTTAATATTTATACATAACTGATAATCATTTCGTTAGTTCAAACATTTGATAATAATTTGTTATAGTGTATAAGATAATGCCAAAAAAACTCAGTGGCCTAATGCCTATGGCACTTTATACCTACCAACAGTAAATATGCATCCCTGCATATATTTTTTTTTTCGGTAGACATCATGAAAATGTACAGAGTGGTTTTGTTAGAGCTGAGTCAGATCTTTATAATGAATATTATGGAAAGAATCTGCTTCAGAATGATTTTGAATACAATTATATATGGTCCCACAGAAGCGACATTTTTATGTATATTTATCTATTTGACACTTTGGTACACTGAGTACTAGGGTGACCGTAAAAAATCGATGTTGGAATTTTATATGTCTGGACCCCACAAAACGAATCCCCTTTCCAGATATTGAGATAGCCGAAATTTGAGCTCGATTAAACCACGTTAACCCGTGCCGCTCGTCGCTCAAAGTTTGAAAAAACACAAATTTTGGATAAAAAACTGACATATGGAGCCATAACTCCAGAACGGCAAATAATAAAGACACGCTTAATATCTCGAAAGAAAGCTAATGTTGTTCTTCAAAATTTATATTCTATACATAATTGTTTTATTTCAAGTCAATCCAAGTAACAACAGCCTTTAGCCCCAAAATGTGGTAAATTTTGATTTTTTTGGTATATTTTTGAGTTCAAAGTGAAAATATAATAAAAACAAGTAATACTGGCATTTTTCATTTCAAAATATAAAAATCGGGTATATAATACATATCAAACAGACACAGAAAATATACAGACATAGTAACTACATAAGTTGATTAATTTACATAGTTATCTAATCTATTCTGAAGCTTTTGTTAAAGTAGTTTTTGAAACGTCGGGATATAATGTTCGACATTTGCTTACAACTTGCAGGACATATTGCTTTTGGTCTTCATCTTTTGTCAGAAGGTTATTAATTTAACACCACGCTCAGCCATATCATTACCTACTTTCAATGTCTTGACAATTTTCAATCCTTGGAAGCCATTATTTTGAGGCCAGATGTTTGGATGTTGTCTTAGTAAATCTGTATTTATACCAAATCGGTCAAATAATGTAAACGTTTCTTTGGTAAGTAAATTTACCAATCTTCCATCAACCCCCTTTTTTAATTTTTCATTCCTAACTTTTGGATTTACAACCTCAGCGTGCTCTGATGGTTCCTCTGTACTACTGAGCAATTTATTAGCCATTAAAAACTTTTCATCGTCTGTAATGGTGGGATTTAAAAAAAGATAATCCCACCAACTCTGCATTCAAATACCACAAATGGTTAGAAAATTTGGTCAGGACTATTTCTGCAATGTCGTTGTCACATTTCTTTCTAACAGACTATGCAAAATACCTAAATCTTGCTTTGGGGAGCATTGAACCAAGTTTTACAATAAATTTCAACTAGGAAAACACAAATGCACGCACAGGGCTTTCTTCTTTAGACATCTCAAATTGATGACAAAAAATGAAAATTTTTAAGCAGTATATATCTTTTGCCATGCACCTAGCGTGATGAATGGCTCCCGGAGTTCTAAATCCCACAACATTACCGTTTAGTGATCCAACAAACACGAGAATCAACTGCAATAGCTCCTTATAGTCATCTCTGGGGTGGCTCGTTAATTTGTTCTCGAATTCAGCAGTAACATTTGCAACACTTCTGGAGTTAGCTGCTTTTGTATTAGATTGTCACTGATACCTATGTCATTTTTTCCTTTGTCTATCTTTTTCCACGCAGTGAGGAATCTCTTAAAAATGTCTGGATGAGGTGAAGAATGTGACAATATTGCAAAATATCATTAGACTTATTGTTAGATTGAGAATTTATGTTTTTATCATTCCCTCTGTATATAGATTTTCTATTTGGTTTATGTGATGTCTGATAATATTTTTAGCTGAATCAAAATCTTCTTACTAACAAACTTGATTCAACTAAAAATATTTTCAGACATCACATACACCGAAAAGAAAATCTATATACAGAGGGAATGATATAAACATACATTCTATTTTAAATATGGGATGGAAATAATTTTATTATCAAATAATGTCGTACTGACGTTTTTAAATTCTATTTATTTGACTTATCATTATTACTTGTTTTTTTATTATATTATCACTTTAAACTCAAAAATATACCAAAAAAGGGAAAATTTGCCACATTTTGGGGCTAAAAGCTGTTGTAACTCGGTTTGACTTAAAATAACAACAATTATGTATAAAATATAAACTGTGAAGAACAACATTAGCTTTCTTTTGATACATTAAGCGCGTTTTTATTATTTACCATTCTGGCTCCATATGTCAGCTTTTTGACAAAAAATTTGGATTTTTTTCAAACTTTGAGCGACGAGCGGCATGGATTAGCGTCGTTTAATCGAGGTCAAATTTCGGCTATCTCAATATCTGGAAAGGGGAATTATTTTGTGGGGTCTAGACGAACAAAATTCCAACATGTTTCCTCCCTCTATGAGATCTGGTCACGCTACTGAGTCAGTGCTAAGTCATAATAAAATAGGAAAATACTGGAAAATGATGCACTGTTCGGAACCTTTGGTGTAGTAATTAATATTACTGGAGTTTTATCCCAACACCATGATGATCACTTGGTGATTGAAACATGTGTCGAGGTTTTAAAAATAACGGTTTGGTGTTGGGATAAAACTGCTGTTATATTTTTTAACAAAAAAAAACAGATCATTACAAAAAGGCAATTGATATAATTCATGCCAACAAAACTTTCACAACACAGAAATTCATAAAAAAAAATATAAATAAGCCACAATCCGAGAAAAAGCTCTATTACCAAATGTTTTCAAAATGTCAGGAGAAAGTGTATTTCTGACTCGCTTTATCTGATAGTTAATGGTAAGTTATTACAAAAGTTTATTGCAATAATTAATGGGAAGCATCTAAATGGGTAGGTATATCTACCATGAATATCCAAATTTGTGACAAACATATCGATATTTTTATGGGCAAAAGTGACACATTTGAAAAACCTGTATTAAATATTAATCTCAATAACCTTTTCTGATCAACAAAAACTCGGGAACTGTCGCAAATCCAAAATTAATCTAAAGTGTTTTCAATTTTTTGATACAAAAATCCAAGTTGAAGTAGAATTTTTCTCAAAGCAAAGTTCTGATCTCTCAGTTTTGCTAACTATATGAATGCACCCTTTTAGATATGATATACAGACTATTGGTGTTGTATAATTACTCCCTGAGAACAGACATCACTTTCTTGGAGGATATATCAAGATTTGTCATATCATTTCACCTCTCTATTATGCTGGAACAACACTTTAAAACAGTGGTCGCCAACCTCTTCAATGTGTTGAGCTACTTTGTTAATTTTGGAATAAACAGCGAGCTACCCACACGGAAGCCACGTAACGCAACGTAAATGAAATAATCCACAGTTAATTTATCATTATATGTATTTATTTTACTATTTAACTGGTAATACATAATACATAGGTACTAATAATAAACTAATAACAAAATAACTAATATTACTAGTACGTACTTGTTCATAGCTACATTCCTACCTATCAAACGAAGGTGTTTGAAAAATAAACACAAACTTTTATCCAGCCACAACGGCATGTCACGTATGATT